GTTGCAATGCACCACGCTGTGCTGCACAATGTCATGGTGTACTGCAGCAGGCCATGCGGTGCTGCACCATGCCGTGCTGCACTGTGCCATGCCATGCTGTACCACGCCACGCTGCACCATACAGTGCCATGCTGAGCTATGCCATGCCACACTGTGCCATGCAATGCCGCACCGCGCCATGGCACGCTCACCACAGTGCACCAAGCCATGCTGTGCTGCAGGCAGCCCCCGGGCTGCATTTCCCCCCACACAAAGCTGGCACTGGGGGTGCAGCAGCAGGGCCGGGGCGGCGCTGCCTGCTGCATCCCTGCATTGGTGCCATGTGCATGCAGAGCCCGGCGCCGGGACGAGGGGCGCGCGGTGCGCTGCAGCTCCCGGGCGGCAGGGACGAGGCAGTTACCGCTTTGATTTATCGGTTTCCCCACCGTAAAATATTAATTCACCATTAAACAAGCGCGCGAGCGAGCGCCAGCGCGGGCACAGGGAGGCGGGGGGGCGCCCGTGTGAAGGGATCCCTCCGGAGCACATTCCCGGGATGCTGCGGGCACAGGGACAGCCGTGCTACCCACGTGGGGTGGCAAGGGGTCAGTGCTGGGCACGGGGTCCCGAGGTGGCACCTCCAGCAAGGAGGACAGAGGGGTCCCCAAGGTGGCACCTCCAGTGGCGAGCACAGCGGGTCCCCATGGTGCCAGCTCCAGTGCTGAGGACCAAGAGGTCCCAGAGGTGCCACCTCCCGCATGGAGGACCAGGGGGTCCCCCAGGTGCCACCTCCCGCGGCCAGGACAAGGGGTCACCACGGTGCCACCCCCGCAGCGAGCACAGGTGGGGACAGACCTCGGCGCGGGCACCGCACCGCGTGCCGCGCCAGCCGCCACTCGCCTTTTGGGGCTTTCTTCCCCTCCCCTTCGTCTTTTTTTGGTGAAATCTGGGAGCGTTGCTATCAAAACATATGTCTGATTTTATCTTTATTACCGGCTTTTATCACTCCGGCTGATCTGCTAATGAAAACACGGCTCGGCGCGCGCCCGCTTCCTGCCGCCCGCCGCCGGCCGGGCTGCGGGCTCTTCCTCCAGCCCATCCCCTCCTCCTCCTCCTCCTCCTCCTCCTCCTCCTCCTCCTCTCGGGTCACGGAGGAAATGTTCCGCTAAAACCTTTAAGACGGCAGCAGAGAGGAGGGGATTGGGATGCAGTGCCGGATCGATTTTTTTTTAAGCACTCAGCTTTAATTTTAGCTTTGCATTAAAAGCCCCGAGTAAATAATCTCGGTGCTCTAAAAAAGGCGGCGGGGAGGCTGGGCGCGCAGGGCGGCGCGGGCTGCGAGCCCCGGGAGGCCGCTCTGCCCGAGGCTGGGCACTGCCCGCTGCCCAGCGAGGGGTTGCAGTGCATTGAGGGGGTGCAGGGCGGGCAGCAAGGGGGTGCAGGGCAGGCAGCGGGCAGATGCAGTGTGGTCACTGGGGAGCGGCAGTGAAGGGATGCAGTGTGGTCAGCGAGGGGGTGCAGTGCAGTTGGCGAGAGGATGCAGTGTGGTCATTGAGGGGGTGCAGTGCGGTCAGCAAGGGGGTGCAGTGCAGTTGGCGAGAGGATGCAGTGTGGTTATTGAGGGGGTGCAGGGTGGTCAGCAAGGGGGTGCAGTGCAGTTGGCGAGAGGATGCAGTGTGGTCATTGAGGAGGTGCAGTGTGGTCAGCGAGGGGGTGCAGTGCAGTTGGTGAGAGGATGCAGTGTGGTTATTGAGGGGGTGCAGCGTGGTCAGGGGGTGCAGTGCAGTCAGTGACGGGGTGCAGTGGGATCAGTTAGGGGATGCACTGTGGTCATTGAGGGGGTGCAGGGTGGTCAGCAAGGGGGTGCAGTGCAGTTGGCGAGAGGATGCAGTGTGGTCATTGAGGGGGTGCAGGGTGGTCAGCAAGGGGGTGCAGTGCAGTCAGTGACGGGGTGCAGTGGGATCAGTTAGGGGATGCACTGTGGTCATTGAGGGGGTGCAGTGCGGTCAGCAAGCGGTTGCAGTGCTGTAACTGAAGGGATGCAGTGCAGTCAGCAGGGGTTGCAGTGCAGCTGGCAAGGGGATGCAGTGTGGTCATTGAGGGGGTGCAGTGCAGTCAGTGACGGGGTGCAGCGGGATCAGTTAGGGGATGCACTGTGGTCATTGAGGGGGTGCAGGGTGGTCAGCAAGGGGGTGCAGTGCAGTTGGCGAGAGGATGCAGTGTGGTTATTGAGGGGGTGCAGCGTGGTCAGGGGATGCAGTGCAGTCAGTGACGGGGTGCAGTGGGATCAGTTAGGGGATGCACTGTGGTCATTGAGGGGGTGCAGGGTGGTCAGCGAGGGGGTGCAGTGCAGTTGGCGAGAGGATGCAGTGTGGTTATTGAGGGGGTGCAGTGAGGTCAGGGGGTGCAGTGCAGTCAGTGACGGGGTGCAGTGGGATCAGTTAGGGGATGCACTGTGGTCATCGAGGGGTTGCAGTGTGGTCAGCAAGGGGTTGCAGTGCTGTAACTGAAGGGATGCAGTGCAGTCAGCAGGGGTTGCAGTGCAGCTGGCAAGGGGATGCAGTGTGGTCATCGAGGGGGTGCAGTGCAGTCAGTGACGGGGTGCAGCGGGATCAGTTAGGGGATGCACTGTGGTCATCGAGGGGGTGCAGTGCGGTCAGGGGATGCAGTGCAGTCAGTGTGCAGGGAGGTCAGTGAGGGGGTGCAGCGAGGTCAGTTAGGGGGTGCAATGTGTTCAGCAAGGCGTTGCCATGCAGTAACCGAAGGGACGCGGTGCAGTCAGTGCGGGCATGCAGTGCAGTGAGCAGCAGGGTGCAGCACTGTCAGTGCAGGGGGTGCAGTGTGCCCTGCGAGTGGGCGCAGTGCCAGGGCAGTGCGGGGCTGCCACGTGATGTGCTCACAGAATCCCAGGACGGCTGAGGCTGGAAGGGACCCCCAGGGCTCCCCCAGCGCAGCCCCTGCTCCAGCAGGGACACCCGGAGCACGGGGC